GTTAATTCAGCTTTTGATTCAGTATGCCTATGTCCTTTAATGAATATTAGTAAAAATATTGGCCACTCATTAAAACGCTTTGAGAAGATGCAATTATCCCAAGCTTGGACATATACCTGATAAAAAATGGAAGTTTTCCTTAGGATTTTCTTTAAAAAGAGAGACTAAGCCCCAAATCAGACCCACTGCCATTGAGTTAATCCCAACTCCCCTACAGGACAGGGTGGAACTGCCCCTGCGGGTTTCTGAGACCGCAACACTTTGTGGGAGTAGAAAGCCTCATCTTTCTCCCACGGAGCAGCTGGTGGTTTTGAACTGTTTCCCTTGTGGTTCTTAACCCAACGCATAACCACGACACCACCAGGCCTCCTTGAAATGAACAGAGCTTCAGAATCCCAGATCGGTTGTGAGGACTCTCTTGGCTCTTCATGAGGAAGATGAAGACTCTCAAGAAATGAGAAAAGCCTGTTTGGTTTATTCTGCCCCCAAACAGCCAGAGATGAATATGGAGATTTTGTATAAGACCCTCTCACGGCCCTTCAGAGAAACACTGTATGTGTACAACAGGGATCAATGGTTAAATAATGGTGTATCAATGCAACACCACCCAACAGATTAGAATGCTTCTCAGAAATAGCTTAGACACAGACCTTGATTATCTGTGATTGGAGGCGAGCTACAAAACAGTCCAAACGATGCAACGCCTGCTGATGGGACGACATGGACAAACACTACCCAAGACTCTATGGGACAAAGGGAATGTTGTTATTGTTCCCCCCTTGTGGTGGTGTCGCGGGCTATGCACTGCGCTGCTAACCAAAGGTCAGTGGCTCCACCCCACCACCAGCTTGACAGGAGAAGATGAGGCTGCCTATGCTTCCAGAGTCAGTCCGACTCTGTCCGACAGGGTGTGTATGAGCCGGCACTGACCCGCTGGCAGTGCACCTGGTTTGATGCTTGGTTTGTGTTTTCCTCTGCTTTCTAATTGCTATGTCATCTCATTATGACTACCAAGTACACCCAAAACCTGCGGAGGAAACGGGCGATGCACACAAACCTCTGTGCCTGGCCACCCGTGGGGGGAGTCAGCGATGTCGCAGGGACAAGGAGAAAGGAGACAGGCCAGCCTGTGAGGCGCTCAGAGGGACCTGTGGCATCCTGGGCACAAACGCTGCCATCTCCTTTGTACTTCTTCGAGCGGGTCTCATGAAAATGACATTAGAGCATCGGTAGGAAACCTGATTGCAAGCTACTGTAAGTTTAATTAGGCAATGAGCTGATGGCAGCGAGCTACTCAATTCAGTCATCAAGGGGGGTCGGTGTGGCAGCACCCCTGATTCATGGTGATTGCTGCATTAAACTCTTATTAGCCGACAGGGGGTGGGGGTGGGAGAAACAGATCCCCTTGCTACTTAAGCAAGTCACGCGTTCTTAGGCAAACCTATTTCAGCTGCAGCTCTCTGCATCACGCATGTTAGAAGGCAGGAGCCCTCGGTGCAAACAAGTAAATACAAAGCCCAATCTGGAAACTACTAACTTGCTAACAAGGCTATTTCTAGGATCGGATTGGGCTAATCTCTGAAATGATTCTGATCCCCTCCCTCCAAGGCCCTTCCTTTTCCACCGCTGTTGCTCATACTGGAGAAACCCACCATCACCGAGTCGTTTCTGACCCCACTCCTGGCCCCACTCCAGGACAGACCCTGCGGGTCTCTGAGGCTGTGAACCTTGACGGGGAGAAAGCCCGAGAAAGCCCCGTCTTTCTCCCGCAGAGCAGCTGGTGGTTTCAAACCGCTGACTGTGTGGCTAGCTGCCCGAGCGGAAGCACGGTGCCTCCAGGGCTCCTTCCTAATCATCGGGATCAATATAACCTCACTGAAAGTTGTCAGCCTCTGAAAGACAGTAAAATCGCACAGTGGTGAAGTTCTGGTCCTCAGAGCCCAGTGAGTTTCTGGTTGGGATCCAGTGGGCTACAGGCTCCCTACAGGGACAGGGCTCCTGGCTTTGACACTGCTAGCTGTGGGCATCAAACCTCACGTCCTCGCTCACAGCCCCCTCGCTCACAGCCCCCTCCGTTGTCCGTCATCAGCACTCGCCTAGGCAGGCCAAACCTCACCGACATTGCTGCTTCTGCCCTACTGTCCCCTGGGTTTCACTGGAGCCCTATGGCAGAGTAGCTACACGCTGGGCTGCTAACCTCAAGGTCAGGAATTCGAAACCACTAGCAGCTCTTACTCCCATAAAGAGTTACTGTCTCAGAAACCCACGGGGCAGTGCGACTGTCCTACAGGTCACTGTGGGTTGGAATCGATGTGATGGCAGTGGGTTTGCTGAGTGGTTTAACTGCCCCCTCCCCGGGACCCCCACCTTCTTTGAAGGTTCATTCACTGGGGGTGCTGGGAGCTGCTGAGTCCAGCCTGACTTGCGCTATCCCGTGTGACAAGCAGGGCGGAGCTGCCCCACTCCGCCTCCCAGGCCGCCATCTTCACGGGGCAGATCGGAGCCACTGAGCGGGTTCGAAGTGTCCTGTGGCTCAGCTGGCCCCAAGTGCTTCTCGGTGGCACCTTGGGGGGCTCCTTGGCGGCTGGTGAGCAACCTCGATCCTTACGTGCAGGTGACAGGACACGGACAGCAGGCGAACGGGGCTGAGGGTGAGGACTCGGGCACCCTGGGGCGCGGGCTCTGTCCCTCCCACTTCCAGGGGATTCCGAGGTGTCTGCGTGCCCACATGGGCCACTTCACTCCTCGGAAAGTGCCCGCACACGCATGTGCAGCATGGAGAACTGTCGGATGACAGGAGTTCACAGTTAAGTGTTGCCTTCTGTCGGTCCATCTCTCTGCTGGCGGACGTCTCCGGTTTTAGGACCAGAGACAGAGCACGTGCTGGAATCGAGTGGAGGGTGCCTCCCGATGGCAAGAGAGCGTGGAGCATGGCTGGCAACAAGAAAGCAACCACTCCATCTTGCAGGAACCATCAAGGTGTTGGGTGTGGGCTCAGACGCACGGCGACCCCACTTGGTCCTGCGCCATCCTCACCACTGTCGTCTGAGCCCACTGCTGTAGCCACTGTGTCCACCCTTACCCCTTCCTGCGATTATCGGAATTTATATCTCGTCACCACCAACCACTGCCAAAAGGCAGCAGCGATTAGTCCCGATTCCTGGGGAGATCCATTTAAAACGCATCTCTAATCCGCTTCCTCCCCAGCCAATGATTACAGATGAAACAGAACCAAGATAGGTCGACGTGTACAATTGTTTCCATGAAAGCATCCGCCTTGACAGCGTCTCATCTACAAAACGGGCCAAAGCCTCTGAATCTGGATGAACCAGCGACTGCCGGTGCCGCGACGGGACCCCGTTGTCAGGAGCACCGGGCACATGCGTCGTCGGAGAGGCGCCTCAGTAAGACGCATGAAGCTGAGGGCCTCATGCGGGGGAGGAGGGCCACGCGCAGAGGGATCAGGATCATGCAAGCCCACGGGTGCCCAAGTCAAGAAGCGGTGTCACCCTGAAAAATAATTTTTAAAAATATGACAAAAAGCTGAGGTTTAATTTTATTTTTTCCTTCTACGCTTGAGGCTAGCAGGATGTGACACGCGGGGGAAGCTTTTTCTGGTTAATGAGAGATTCTGGGAGAGGCGGCTGTGAGAAGCTGGCACCCGGATGCAGCGGGAAGCTCTGGGGCGGGCGGAACAGGGATGAAGTGAGAAAGTGAGGGGGACAAGATTCAACACCCCAGAGCTCTGGGGCAGAAAGACAAGAACAGCCACTTTCATGCACATTGGAGGCTTTTAGGCAAACGGCCCATTCCTCGGATGTTTAACTGCAGCGTTCAAACTCAGGAGACTCGCCCACTCGCCTTCCTCCCGCTCGCCCTCCCCAGGGGTCTCGGTGAGGAGTACCCCGTGAAGCTGTCTCTCTAACCATGGGAGCAGTGGCGACCCGGCCGACGGGCTGCTCACCGCAAGGTCGGCCGTTTGAAACCACCAGCCGCTCCTTGGGAGAAAGATGGGCCCTCGGATGCCTGTAAAGAGTTAGGGTCTCTTGGAAACCCACAGGGGCAGGTCTACCCTGTCCCACAGGGTCACTCTGAGTCGGCGCCATGTTTGGCTTTTGGTTACCAACCAGATCGTCAGCCGGCCTCGGTTTGGAAGCCAAGACCCCTGCTTCTTATCTTGGAAAGCATCCAGTAAGTCTACAGCCCACCAGTGTCACTGTTCTGGGCAGTGAGCCTTAGTATCACCGTTAATGGCATTCCCTCGCCACGTCTTGGTGGGGAACCTGCTACGGAGCAAGGTCTCTCCCACCAGTCAAAGCCTTCCGAATCTATTGATTTTTCATAATAAAGAGCCATTGGCTTCTCGGCTTTCCCAAAATCATTCCATCGGGTTTAAAAACCTGCCCCCCCTCCCCGCATTTATTTTATCTTCATTTCTATAAGCTTCTACAAATCAGGTCCGCAGTGTGTGCACCGTATGGATATTTGGTCCCATCTAATCAAGAAGTCAAGCTGGCAGGCCCCTCAGCACCGGGGATGGGAACACCATGCCTCACCTACCTAGGACACGTGGTCGGGGGAGACTTGTCCCTGGAGACAGACATCCTGCTTGGGCACGTGGAAGGTGGGTGAGGAACAGGAAGGCCCCCCAATGAGATGGGCGGCCACCCACCACGGCTGCAACAGCGGGCTCAGACCTAGGAACCGTGGTGAGTGGGGATGCCGCAGCCCCAGACAGCTTCGCTCTGCCGTGCTGGGGCGGCTACGAGTCGGAACCAACTCCATGGCGCCCGGTCACCCCGAAACAGCAATCATTTCCAAACCGACTGGCTCGGGCCTGCAGCCTCCCTGGCAGCACGCTAGGGCTGGAATGACGGTTACCGGTTGGCCGGGCCGGGCTAGCAAGCTGAGTGCTTCCCTTTGGAGAACCGCAGACCACCTCCTATGGGCAAGAGGCAGGAGACAGGGGCATCAAGCTGAGACGGGGGCAGAAGACTCACTCAGGCTGCTGAGCTGGCGGATGATGGCCGCGAGGGTACTGTTGGTGACGCACTCCAGCTCGCTGGGGACCCCTTCCGGCAGAGCGCCGCGGCACAGGTGCCGCGGCTCGATGCTCCTCTTCACCAGAGGCATGGCTCCTGACCTGGAGGCGACAGAAACCCGGGTCAACAGCTTTTAGCCAGTGGCATGCTTCTTGGGGATTCCCGTGCCCCAGGAGTTCTCATGCTCCTGCCATGTTTAGGGAGTTCTGTGGCACAATGGTCAGGTAGCCTGGCTGCGAACTGAAAGGTTGATGGTTTGAACCCACCCGCCCTGGGGTGTCAACGGAGGGAAACCCTGGCTGCGTGCTCCTGCAGAGACGGAGGCTTGGGGCGCCCCGCAAGCTGGTTCTCCTCTGCAGTGGGTGGTGTGGGGCTGTGCCTTGGAAAGGGCTCAGCACTACAGGAGGGTCCAGGGGGCTGGCGGCGGGGGGATCTGAAGGGTCAAGCCGCCAAGGTCCTGAGGCCGAGGGAATGGGGGCAGAGACACTGGCAATGGTCCTGCTGAATTATACCTCCCCATGTCCACTCAGGTGGTGGCTGAGTCACTGTCATGGACTGAATGGCGCCCCGCGCCCCGCCCCCCCAAAAAGAAGCATGTGTCAGCGTGGCTGGGCTGTATCTCTAGGGATGTCCTTGTGGATGTATTGCAATGTGGTCATCCTCTGTTTGTGCCGTGTTCTAAATGCTGACCTCTGTGTGTTCCTGAGACAGGGTTAGGCTGTGCTAAGGCAGGTGAGGTTATGCTTGTCAAGTTACCGAGGCAGAGCTAGGGTGGGACATAAGACCCTTACTCAGGTCACAGTCCTGGTTAGACGGAAGGGGACTTCCTGGGGTGTGGCCTAGCCTGCACCACCCAGTATCTTACAAAGGCCAGGAGAGAGACAGACAGAGGCAGAGAGAGCTCTACTACCACCAAAAAGAGAAGAGCTGGGTGGGAGCAGGCCACGTTCTTCAGACCGGGGGCTCCTCTGCTGAGAACCTCCTAGACCCAGGGTAAGAACCGATGCCGAGAGACGCGGGCATCTCCAAGGGCTGCCAGGCTCACGGGTGCTAAAAGGAGAGAGTGGGAACTTCCCCCAGAGCCAACAGAGACCGAAGTCCCTGCTCTAGAATAGAAGCCCTGAGTTTGAACTCCCGGCCCGCCATGCAGTGAGAGAATCCAGTTCTGTTTGTAAAAACCCTCCCTGTAGGGTAGAGGGAGAGTGGGTTGGAAAGAGGGAACCTATTATAAGGAACTATATGTGACCTCCTCCCTGGGGGACGGACAACAGAAAAGTGGGTGAAGGGAGACATCGGACAGAGCAAGCTATGACAAAATAACAATTTATAAATTATCAAGCGCTCATGAGGGAGGGGGGAGCAGGAAGGGAGGGGGAAAATGAGGACCTAATGTCGGGGGCTTAAGTGGAGAGGAAATGTTTTGAGAATGATGAGGGCAATGAATGTACAAATGCGCTTTACACAATTGATGTATGTATGGATTGTGTGATGAGTTGTATGAGCCCCTAATAAAATGATTTTTTTTAAAAACACTCCATGTATGGTCTGTTTCAACAGCACTGTTTTAACAAAGACCGTCACCCAATACTTTCAGATTCAGAGCCTTCCTCATCTGCTGATTGGGTGCATGGCCTGCAGTACCTCCCACCAGCTCCCTGAGCCCAGGTCTCCTCCCTATGTGATGTGGACCGCAGCAGAGCAGAGCCCACGTGGGGTTGGGGGAGTGAGGCTGCTATGAGCAGGAATTGGATTTGGTGGCATACAGCGCAACGCCCACAAGGCAAGGACTTGGTCAGCAGCTAATGGCCTCAAGCAGACTCTCGATCACTGATTGATCACACTGATCTTGTGACATCTCGTACATTGTCAGAATGGTGTTACACAGACAATCACAGAGGAGCGCTGGCTGAGTGTGGTAGTCACGTCATCTGGTGTCCATTTGGGACCTGAGAGGATTAAGAGTGAAGGGGTGGAGTCTAGTGTGTCAATCAGGCCAGTGAAGCCTCTGTGTGGGCGTGGCCTTCCCCTGGGAATTCTGGGAACTCCAATTTCCTCCTTGGAGGCAGGAGAGACTCTCTCTGCTCACTCCCTGGGAGACAATCTGACAAGACCCATGGTGCTATGCTGATGGTGGCGAGAGCCCTAGACCTGGAGAAGCCACATAGAGACCCCTGCCAGCGCTAAGGTGCTACCATCACCACTGGATCCACAAGACTTCCCACCCACTGGCCTGTGATCTTCCTGCATTCGGTGTCACTGCATGTGTTTCATGAGCCTGAAGAAGAATTTATAGATTGATATCGGGCATATGGGCTAATATCAGACTTATGGACTTGATCTGGCCTGGGCTGGGATGTTTTCTCAATGTCCAATTTCTCTTGTATATAAAGCTCTTCCTTATTCACCTATGGGTGTCTATGAGTCTTTTTCTCTAGTCTACCCGGACTAACTCACTGAGGATGAGGCCTGCCACCAAAAACAGAAGCAAAAGTTCACTGCCACTGGATTGATTCGGCTCAGAGTAACCCTGCGGAGGGTTTCCACGACTGCAAATCTCTATAGGAGCAGATGCGACTTCATCTTCCTCCCTCAGAGTGGCTGGTGGCTTTGAACCGCTGGCCTTGCCATTGGCAACCAAACGCCTAACCCACAGAGCCCCCAGGACTCCTTGCCACACCACCGACACCAGCCAGCAAAGTTCCCAGGTAACCCCAGTCCAGCATCCTCCAGGGAAGGAGCAGAAATGGTATCGCGCATGGTTCCTGCTTTCTGGGATGGGGAGCTAGGGCAGGGGGGAGGGGGGGTAGCAGACAGAGCACAATAAAACCAGCCAGGAAACGGGAGCTCCTCCTGAGGAAAAACACTCCGAGAGTTAATGGAAGCATAAAGCGTATGTGTGGGGACGACTCGGGGCCCAGCAGCAGGGACAGTTCTGTGAGCGAGCACAGGAAATGAAGCCACAGCAAGAGGATGTGGCAGAAAGCTATTAGGGGGATGGAAGATGGGGGGTGGGCTTCTAAAGATAGCACAGGTACCTTAATGCCCTCCCCGAATCCCAGTTCAGCAGCTGCAAAAACACAATAACCAAACTCCCTGCCGCCGCGGTCGGTGCCGACTCAGCGGCCCTACGGGCCAGAGCAGAACTGCCCCTGTTGCTTTCCAGCACAGCAACTCTTCACAGGAGCAGGAAAGCCCGCTCTCCACAGAGCGGCTGGTGGTCCCCAACTGCTGACCTCACGGTGAGCAGCCCCACCCGTAACCGCAGCACCAGCGGGGCTCCTCCGTGTAAAACAACGACACGGATCCCCCAGGGCTGGGAAATGGAAGGTCAAAGAGCCCATGTGAGGGGTCCCCACAGCAGCACGCCTGCCCATGGGCAGAAGCGTGGAGGTCTTGGCCGAGCCTTGGCAGCAGCGCCCCACTCTTGCTTTGGCAAAGCACCCAGTCTTTGCTAAGGGACTCCCTCATCTACAGTGTCCGTCGGGGAAGCCAGAGCACAGCAGGCTACGAGGCCTACGCAGCCAAAGGCCGGTCCGTCTGACACGTTCACCAGCGGCGGGTGCTGGACTCTGCCCAGCGAATGACGGCCCCGTGTGCCACCTGCAGGCACCTGAGGTGACACCCGGTATCTGGTTCCGCCTGAAAACAGAGATCGGGTTTCTGGGTCAAGACGGCTCTCCACAGGCTGTGCAGAAGGGCCTTGGGGCCAGACACAGGCAGGATGTGCTGTGGGGTGTAGAGCAAGGCCCCCTCTCGTCCCCTCCCCTGTCCACCCTCCTGGGCACCTGGGGGTGGGGGGGCAAGAAGACTCAGGAGCCAGCTCTGTCCCAGGGCCATTACTTCCCGCATTCACCCTTCAATGGGTCTCTCTGCTTTGCACTGGGTCCCTTTGTAGTTGAAGATCCTTAAGTTTTTCAACAAAGGACTAAGTGTCCCTCCTGTGTAAAAGGAGCCCGACTGGCACAGTGTGTTAAGCACACGGCTGCTAACTGAAAGGTCAGTATTCTGAGCCCACCAGCGGCTCTAAGGGAGAGAGATGAGGGTGCCCGCACCTGTGAAGACTGACAGCCTCGGGGACCCCAGGGAGCAGGTCCACCTCTCCCATCGGCTCGCTGAGTTGGAGATGACTCAACAGCAGGGGTTAGCTTTCTGCGGGGTCTTACGCAACCAAGTCAAACAGATGCTCCCACGGGGTTCCCAAGCCTCCCTCAAGGGCAGGTTGAAGTGCCAAGGTTTGGCAATAGACGGTAGTTGTCTCACAGGGGTAGTTAACTCACACGCTGTGCACAGACACTCACCTAGTAAGACACAGTCACACGGGGGGAGGATCGGTCAGTTTCCAGGTAACTTCACACACACATAACTCAAACACACCAGCACAAGCACAGTGTCGGCTGAGGGTGACAGCCAGTGGCGTGCTGGGCGTGTCACACGCATGGGAGGCTCACTCACGGCCTGCCCTGTGTGGACGGCTATGTGGGTGCTGACCGCCGAGAGGCTTGAAGCCCTCGCCGATGAGACTTAGACTGCAGGCTTCGGTGTGATTACACGAATCCTCACCGCTGGGCCAATCCTCAATGTGGTGAGACACAAGACAAGGCTGCGGCGGCCAAGGACTTGGCTCTGCTCGGATCCACGCTCTAGGTCATGCCCCTGCTCCACGTCTTCCTCCCCCGACAAGAAGACCAACCGCCATGAGGTTGACTGGTTTCTGCGACCAGACATCCTTCCAGGGGCTGACAGCTTCATCTTTCTTTCACGCGGTGGCCGGTGGGTTTGAGCCGGCGACCTTGTGGCTAAAGCGGTCTCATGCTGCCACGGCAGCACCACCTGAGCTCGTTCGACTGCGTGGACCCTTTCACGGCTGCGTCTTGTCTGCTTGCCCTGCCGAGGACCTCCGGTATGGCGCCGAATTTAAGAATGGAGAGTGGCCATCTCGGCCTTATTCCTGACCTCAGGAGGCAGGTGGCCTTTCACCAATAATCATGATGATGACCAGATTTCCACGGATCCATTCTGACTCATGGCAACTCCACAGGCGTTGTGAGGACCGTGCCCCGGAAGGTCTTCAGTGACTGGTGTTTTTCTGGAGGTAGGCCGCCAGGTGCCCCTTGGTGAACGCCAACCATCAACCATCCGGGTAGCAGCTGAGCATACTAACCATGTGCGCCAGTGTGGTAGTCACCCAATCTGGTGTCAATGTAAGGACTGAGTGTAGGGGTGGAGTCTAGGCTGTCAATCTGGAGATAACCAATGAGATTTCTGTGTGCATGGCCTTCTCCTGAGAATTCTGGAAAATCCAGTACTTCCTCCTTGGAGGTGGAAGACACCTCTCTCTCTGCTAATCCCTGGGAGACAATGCAGAAGACAAGCCTCATGGACACAACCAGACCTCGGAAGCCAGAGAAGCCACAGAGAGACCCCTGCCAGCACTGAGATGCTTACAACGCCACTGGACCCAAAGACTTTCTACCCACTGGCTTGTGATCGTCCTGCATTTGGCTTCATTGCATGTGTTTCGTGAGTCAGAAGAGGACTTTATAGATCGATATCGGACATATGGGCTAATATCGGACTTAGGGCCTTGGACTGGGCTGGGTTGGAATGTTTTCTTAATGTACAATTGCTCTTGTATATAAACCTCTCCCTTATATCCATATGTGTGTCCATGGATTTGTTTCTCTAGTCTACCCAGACTAACACAGCCAGCCACGGCGTCAGCTGTGGGGTTTCCGCACCCACAGTTCCTCTATGTGAGGAAGGCCCTTTCCAGTGCCCCTTTGCTGCTTTCCTAAGAGCATTTCAAGGTGGGCCATCTGAATCCATAAATGATCCACCCTCATCTCAGCCACGGGTACGGTTAGCATCACCGCTGAGCCAGCTCCAGGAAGGAACAAGTGGAAAAAGGGAGGAGGCAGGAGTCTAATGGGTGGGACCAGGAAACTGATGTAACAAAAACCTGGCTGAACCGAGGAAATAAAAAGTAAATGGACTAAACTCCATCAAGCTGAGTCGATGCCGGCTTGTGGCAACCCTCCCGGGGAAGGCTGGAGCTCCCCGTGGGCTCCGTGGGAGTGACCTCCACGGGAGCAGAAGGCCTCACCTGTCTCCTGAGAGAAGCTGCAGCTTTTCGGGGAGCAGCTCAGCACGAATCCCCTGTGCCACCAGCCCAAGAAGCCCTAGGCGAGGTTGCCACATTGGCGTTTCATATAAAAGTAAATGCAAGTGTAATACAGAGTTATGTATCAGGGGGTGAGAGGGGGTTCATGGACATTAAAAGGCAGTGGGATTTTGAGGTCCACCCCTACCCCCACCCCTCTGCTCACCTACTTTCCTCTTTAAAAGCCTTGAACATGATCAGGACCTAACGCTTTGGACTAGCATCTGCTTTCACTCTCCACGAGCCCTGAGGGCGTAGTGGTCACAGGTGGGCGGCTACCCAGACAGGGTCAGTCGTTGGGAACCATCAGCCCTCCTCGGAAGAGGAGGTTTTTCCACTCCAACCAAGAATTACAACGGTGGGAACCCACGAGGGCGGTTCTACCTGTCCTCCAGGTGCACTAGGAGACAGAACCCGGTCAACAGCGGTGAGTTTGGGTTTGGGTTTCGGTTAATATTTATAGAGGTATGCTTCTACTAATGTTTGAAGCAGAGATTCTAAACTATAAGATTATCGAAACCAAACAGCTTTATGACATGAAACACACACACACACACACACACACACACACACACACACACACACACACACACACTTACCGTGTCTCGCTGGCTCAGGGGCTGAAAGGGCTCTTCCTGACCAGCATCGTCATTCTCACAGTCACGGCTGCCATACTTAAAGCTGAAGAGAAACGAGAGAACAGTCGTCAGCACTGGTGAGCTCAGCCCATCCAGGTCTGCTCAAGACAGCCTGCGCTGAAATGCCCCTCGTACCCCGAGTTTCATCACGTCAACGTGCACCCCCAAACCAGTTCTTCTTTGTAACTGGTGTAAACAGGGGGCAAATTTCCGGATGACTCCAACTCCCTTGCCCGGAATGTGCTCTAAAATCAACATCCAGGGATCAGAGCCCATTACAGTCACAAGGCAGAGAGACACAGAGTCAAACATGTTCCAGATCCAGATCCAGCCCGCCCCCTCAGCACCACCGCACATGAAATAACTGCCAACAGATGCACTGGACAGTACGAGGGGCTGCAGAAAGGTGGCGGCTGAATGGAAGTCAGAGGTGAGGGAGGTCTTCCCCAGTTAAAGCCCCCTAACACACACACACACACACACACACACACACACACACACACACACACACTTCATGCAAGAACTATCTACACCAGGAAGAGCATTTGTATTCCTTTTCTCACACTTGAATTGCATGGCCATCTGGCTGGACGTTCTATAAACATGTTGAGTGTGCACTGAGATAAACTAGGTAATAACAAAGACTCGATTCCACCAAATTGACCGTATAGTGACTTACCAGGGCAGACGATGCTGCTGACAAGGATACAGAGTAACATGGCAACATGTGTCCTTCCACTGCATGCTGGAGAAAGATTATTCATGTTCCCCTACGGAGGCGCACACAGAGGGGCACTAGGCGGCTCAGGCTCACTCCTCGGGGTGCCCAGCGAGCTCACCAAGCATGCTGCATGAGCTGCTCCTCTTGAACACTGCACACGGGGCGGTGAGTAAGAAAGTGCAGCCCACTTCTAATGGGGAGGGGGGGGCTGTGTTAGTCCAGGTAGACTAGAGAAACACATCCATGGACACTCATGTGTACAAAAAAAGCTTTATATAAAGTCATTGTACATTAAGAAAACATCCCAACCTGGTCCAGATCCAGTAAGTAAGTAAGTGTGATATTAGTCCATATGCCCGATACCAATCTCTAAAGTCCTCTTCAGATTCTTGAAACACATGCAATGACGCTGAATGCAGAAGATCACAGCCCAGTGGGTGGGACATCTTGTGGATCCAGTGGCATTGTGAGCATCTCAGTGCTGGTGTGGGCCTCCACGTGGCTCCTCCAGCTCAGGACACTAGCATAGGTCCCTGTGTCTTGTCAGCTGCATTGTCTCCCAGGGAGTGAGTAGAGAGAAAGCGTGTCTTCTGCCTCCAAGGAGGAAACACAGGAATTCCCAGAATCCTCAGGAGAAGGCCACGCCCACACAGAGGCCTCATTGGCTATGACCTGATTGACAGGCTAGACTCCACCCCTTCCCTCTGAATCCTCAACTTGACCCCAGATTATGCAACTACCACAGGGACTGACACAGGCAAGTCACTGTGACGCAGTTTCAACCAGTGGCCTTGGCCGTGGAGTTGTTCCGACTTGTGGTGATCCCACGGGAGTCATGGAGGCCTGTGTGCCACAGAGCGTTTCTGTGCTGAGTTGTTGGAAGGCGATGGTGCTAGTCCAGGTTGACTAGAGAAACAAATCCAGAGACACTCGAATACGTGTGAGAGAGAACTTTAAATCAAGAAGTAATTGTGCATCAATGAAACATCCCATCCCAGTCCAGATCAAGTCCATAAGTTGGATCAAAGCCGTGCCCAATAGTAGTCCATGAATTCCTCTTCAGACTCACGCAGCATGCGCAACAATGCCAAATGCAGGAAGATCACAGGCCGGTGGGTGGAAAGCCTTGTGGATCCAGTGGAAGTGGAAGCATCTCCACGTGGCTCCTCCAGCTCCTGGGTGTTTCTCCTCAGCAGGAAGGTGAAGCAGAGGGAAGAGTGTGTCCTGCCTCCAGGGAGGAAGCGAGGGAGTTCCCAGAATCCTCATAACTAGGCCATGCCCACAAGGCTAGACTCCACCCCGTTGTCCTATTTATCAAATTGACCTGAAATTATGTAACTACCACACTGCCACCGACCTGGTTTGAGTCCCAGACCCGGCCTGCTTGCCCACGTCACTGTGTGACACTACGCTCTTCACTGGTCACAGAGGCTCTGCTCTCCTGTCCCCACTGTTCTCACCTGTGCACAGATGAAGTTCCACTCAGCCCATCAGGCACCTTCTGGCAGGCAGCCACTGTCAGCTCGTTCAGAGCAAGGCCTCCCCTGAGAAGGGCCAGCCCTCGTTGAAGCAGCCAGCACACACCGGGTGACATGGGCAACAACCCTTTCTGTGGCCCACCCAGGTGCGTGCCCGACTTCCAACTCCCCGTCACTATAAGGGTCCTCAGAAAACCCCTCTGGGACAGAGCAGGACTGTCCCCATGGGTCCCCGAGGCTGCTAAGAAGAAATGGCCTCCCCTCCTTGGTCTCCCAAGGAGCAGCTGGGGGCTTGAACTGCCCACCTTTGGGGGAAGTAGACAGGCACTTAACCACTGCGGCCCGGGACCCCTTCCCCCCTCGAGGCCATTCCACTCTGTCTAACGGGGTCACGATGGGTTGGAGGCAACCCCAGGACAAAAGTGTCCTGTGCTGCTCAGTCTCCAGGTGAGCTTCCTCTGGGCTGAGTGCTCCGGAGGAGGCTGGCTTGCGTTTCGGGAGCCCGTGTTGGCTCCAGAATCATCCCTTCGACCGGGCACCACAGAGACAACGAGCAGGAGGAGGAGGAGGCCAGCGGGCCCTGGGGGTTGGGGTTCGAGCAACCCTTCCTGAGAGCCTCTGTCCTTTCCGGCTGTGGTTCTTGTGATCTGGGTGCAGGTTGGCAAAGCAGGTTGGTTTTCCCTTCAACACTCACAGACAGTAAGGCTGATATGAGATGTGGGGACTGCAAGCTCCACAATGCAACAGTGCTCCTCCCCTCCCTCTCTCCCTGTGTGTACCCCACTGGGTCAGGATGGGTGGACTAGAGCAACAAATCCAGGGAGACCCATTTGTGTTTAAAGAGAGTTTTACATAAAGAGTCATTGTATATGTGCCGCCGAAGCAAGCACTACATAAAGAGTCATTGTGTATTAAGAAAACATCCCAGATCAAGTCCATAAGTCTGATAGGAGCTCATATGTCCAATACCAGCCTATAAATTCCTCTTCAGACTCGGGAAACACATGCAATGACGCCGAATGCAGGAAGATCACAGGCCGGTGGGTGGAAAGTCGTGTGTATCCAGTGGTGGTGGAAGCATCTCGGCGCTGGCGTGTGTCTCCACGGGGCTCTATCAGTGTAGTTCCATGTGGCTTGTCAACAGGGATGTCTTGCAGGGAGAGTGTCTGTTCCCCTCCCAGCAAACTACTTATCTCCTTAGCATCTCCAAATAAGGTCATCAAGCTGTGACCTGATTGACAGGCTAAGCTCCACCCCTTCACTCTCAATAGCCCCAAATTGAGAACGGATGATGTAACGACCACACCCTCCCTTTCCATCTGTCCTTCTTTCGAGTTCCTTTCTCTGGTCCCAGTGCCCAGTCCTTCACCCCTCCCTCCTCAACCTCATGTTCCTCCCCTCTCCCTGCACCCTGCCTCCTTGCAGCCTTCGGGGTCTAAGCTTCTGGCCAGTCTCTTTCTGCGTTCTGTGCTTTATCGCTGGGCAAATGCTACCCTGGGAGGTGTCTGCCACTGATTCTTCTGAGGAGTGTGTACCTCCTTGGGGTGGCTGTTCACCTTCTCCAACCCGCACCTCCCACCCAAATCGCGGCCATCAAGTCTTTTCCAACGATTAGGGGTCACTCTATAGACCTGTCTGTTATTTGGTTGAGTGCTGAACCACTGCGGGAGGTCAGATCCAGTCTGAGCAGTGCCAAAGGCCACAGACTCCAGGGATCCCCCAGTCTCCAGTGAGCGGTGCACATGGCCTTTGCTTTGTACCATTCCTTTATAGAGTTTAGTTCTACATTGTTCTCCCACTCCATCCAGGGCCTCCTACTGTGAGCCTCTTCAGAGCTGGCAGTAGTGATGGCCGGGCACCATCTAGTCCTTCTGGTCTCCTGGTCCTGGAACCTGAGGGTCACAGGCCTGTCAGTCCTTTGGACTAATTGTTTCCTTCGGTTTATTTTTTTCCCTCCTCTTTGCTCTGGGTGGGGAGAGACCACTAGTTGCACCTCAGATGGCTGCTCATTAGTGTTTTTAGCCCTGTGGTGGTTAGGGATTCTGTCAATACGGGTAAGGGGAGGGGTAGAGCCCAAGCTAGCAATTGGGTCGCAGCTTGATGGCACCGCCCTGGTATCATAAATCTTTTTGTATGCGAGAAACAGAGCAGAGTCGAGCCCGCTTTGGTCCTTCGCGTTCTCCAGAGACAGATCTTTCATCCGGTTCTGTTGTGAATGGGCAGGATCAACCACACCACTCTATTAATAAGTAAAGTCTTTATTATTCAATAGCTGGACCAAGAGTAGGCTGGTGCCTATTCTCCGTCCAGCACAAAGAAATTCCAACCTTTTCCTAGTTCAAAAATGGGGCCTGGCTCCAGGGGAGGCATCTTCTAGCCGTTACATTCTTATCAGGTTGGCAGGACCACGGGTCGGGGAGAACAACACAGCTGCAGGTGCCGACTCAAGGTCTTACGAGATAGAGCACATTTCTTGCTTAACTGGGCAGGCAGGATTTGGAGACGTCTCAGAAGAGTCCAGGTCTGGTTGGGAGCGGGAAGAGAAGGGGGCTAACTGCTAGCAGGGGTTCAAGGCAGCTTGAACCCAGATGGAGCTCAGCACGCTAAGCTAGGCGGTGACAGTCCCTTGATCTCTTCTCCTGTCGGCCTGCCGATCCCAGGAGGTGTCAGCAGACCAAGGGTGGATCCATTCAGCCGACTTTGAACCTCTGCTTCCACCAGTCCGCACCCCTGCTGTCTCTGCTTCATCATCCCGCTTCTTGCCTGTCAGTTTCCGTGGGTCAGGAGAAGCCTGCTTGGACCGGACTTGCCTGTTCCTATAAGCATGTGAGCCGTTTCTTGACAG